CTGGAAATGACTCGCATTAGAGGAGGAGAGAGAAAGAATGAGAGAGAGATAGGGTGTGATGGTGGGAAACGAAAGTGAGAAAACAGATAAAAAAAAGAGAGAGTGCAAAAGAAAGAAGAGCACAAGAATAAGCAGGAGTCTTAAGAACAACTGCCCCCGTTTCTGATAAAACCTGGTATTTCTTCAATAACTGGCACTTTTCACAAAGAGAATAAAAAACAGGGTGTGAAACTCTTAAAAACGGCCATTTTTGGTCTTTCAAGAAACGGTCAGTAGAAGGTGGTGCAAAAATGCTGATTGTCAATGTTGAGTGTTTCCCAATCTTTCAACCCTGTTAGCATGTATTTAATATCTAAATAGAGTTATCTAAATAAAAACCCTAATTAGTGTGATTGGTATTTCCAAAACAGGCAATACAATAAAAAAAAAAGTATTTTTTGGGGGCAGAAAATGCTGGTTTGGAATTACTGACAAACTTATATTTACTATAAAAATTGGTGTGATCGGTATTTTCAAAACGGGTAAAATCTATAAAATGCAAAAAAAATAAAAATAATAATAAATAAATTTTACATTTTTGGAAGCAAATGTTAGTTTATAATTTGTGATGCATGCATATTTACTATAAAAATAAATATTTTTTAAAAAGTTTCTACAATAACTTTGGTAACAGGGTCAAAAGTTTTTGTTTTTCATTCTGTATCAGGTTTCCCTTTTTTGCAACCTTGTGACCATGTATTGAATCTAAAAAAAAAAAAAACATTGATGTGATTGATTTTTCCAAAACAGGCAAAAGCCAGAAAATGTCAAAATAAATAAATAAATAAATTGTAAATTTTTAGGAAAAAATGTTACGTTTACTGATGCACTTATATTTACTATAAAGAGAAAATTCCTACAGTACCTTGCACAACAGGGTCAGAAAGGTTGAGTTTTATGAAGGCAGACAACACTACAAATTGTGTAAAAGCCAGGAGAAAAAAAAAAAAAGATGTTACTTCCTGGGCATACAAATTTTGATAAAAACCATACAAAACTGTAAAAGAGGGGATAATGCTTGTACACAGCCAAACAGCACACATTCTCTAATGGTTTGAACAAAATGAGCAACCAAAGATTATCTCATTCACAGAAACTCTTAAACCATAGTTTGCTCTTCATATCTGTGAGCTTGTGCACTACAAAAATATCCCCTTCTTTCACGCCGTCTATTCTTCATTTCATTTGCTTTCATCTTCCTCATCTTCTCCCTGACAGTGTTTGAGGGTGTGGAACTGCTCTGAGCGCAGGAGCAGAGTGAATTTCCATGCTACATTAGTCCCACCATCAGAATGCAATGAAGAAGAATATGAGAGGAAGACTCATCTGTCCTGTGAGACTCCCGCTCCTCCTCCTCTCTATCATCTCTCTTTCGGCCGACCACTTTACTGGCGTGTCATCTACATGAAAGATCATCTGTCTCTTGACCCAAATAAACATGACCACACTGATGAAACTGAAAAAAGAGAGGGAGAGAGAGGAACGGCAGGAGGCAAAAGAAAGAAAAAAGAATGCTATCAGCAGCCTCATTTGTGGGCACCGTGTTTATTTTGTCTGGTTTTGGCAGACGCTAGCGGCACATGTTCAGCTGCTTCACCAGACGAAAGACGACAGGTGGATGCATCTGTCTGTCAATCTGAGATCCAATCAAAAAAGAAGGGTCATGGACAGCGCAGAATGGGACAGTCCCAAATCAGCAAGTGGAATATGTGTGTATGTGTTGGTATATGTGTGTCTTTTCCTTTGTTAGCCGCAGTGCAAAGCCCCATGGACCTCTCTGATAATGCATCCACGAGCGAGAGAGGGAGGGAGCACGTGAGGAATGAAAGCAGGAACGAGAGAAAATCACCTAACACCTCAACTCTCCTGAGGACGAGGCTGCTGTAAGCTGGATATTAAGACACAAATTGCATTCAGGCGGGTCAGTAGGTGTCAGATGATATTAGATGCCTGCCATGAGGAAACAACAACTACCATCAGCCGGGAAGGAAAATAATATTTTCATTTTCAGCCTTTTATTGAATGGAAACTTTGGGGAATATGTCTTTAGAGGGGGGAGCTAGCGGGCTTGCAAATGTAACACTCCCAACAAAAGGGTGTAATCATGGCAGCTGAGTGCTCTTTGAGGAATCTGATTTAATTTCCAATGAGGAGAAAAACAAGATTTCGCTGTGTGTGTGTGTTGTCTCTCAACGCTTCAATGCGGTTGTTTTCTTTTGTTATCTAAAACGGTGGATGTGTGTCATTTCGAATGGTTTTACAGCAAAACCAATGCAAACAAGTGGAAATCTCTATGAATATGGTGCACTTTGGTGTCCCATGACTTTTTAAACAAAGCATTAGAGGCACAGATCCTATCAATTTATTGTGACAGCTAATTGATAACTATTATCTAAAACAGTCGCATCTGAATTTGGTCTGAATTTGATTTGAGGTCTTAATCTTCTTGATATGCTGATATCAGCATTTAATATAACAACCCTTATGTGTTGACACAATCTGTGGAACTGATATTCAATTTATTGCTGTAAAAATATTTGTACAAATAATTCTAAGTCATTAATTCATTAAAAAAAAAAGTATCTGTGTTCCACATCTTGCATCCAACCCTGTTATCACATGATTTTCACCCAAAAAGTAGCATCTCAAGAATTCTGTTGTCCTGTCAAATGCATTTGTCAACCCTGTTATCCAATATATAATATAATATTATATCCAATACATAATACACATTGTTATAATATTGAATTATTTTTCTTTGCTCCCAAAAGCTAGCTCCCGCCACATAATAGTTTAATGTAAGCTAAATCGCCATTTCCCATTGCAGATATTCTGTATTTGACAAACATTGTGTAATTATGATGATTTTTGAATTTTTATTGCCAGAAATTACAAATCACGCCATTTTAACCTGCATTTAGATAAAAATGGCAAACTTTATCTTAAAAATATTTTTTTACAGACTCAATCACCATTTTTACCCTTTTTGTGGTAAGTTCCAAGTGAATCACTCCCTTCCAGCTTTTCAATCCATGATTAGATGTGAAAATAACCCAGTGTACACATGCAGCTGCAAGTTGCATTTTGCAGTGTGAGTGTGTGTCCCTTCTTTTACTTCCAGATGTTGTTCTCTCTTCTGTAGTTACCGATCCCCAGCTCTCCAGCATTTTTGCCCATGACCTTCTGGGTAATTGAGCAGAAGTATTGATGTAACAGCAGGGTCTGATTGTGATTTATTAAACACACTCTGAGACTGTGCCAGCGTCACCACGCGCCCATCGCATGCTATTACAAAAGTCATCAATAGCTCTGCTACATAAAGGCCAGTAATGGGGAGAGAGCCAAGAGAGAGAACAGAGCGCCCTGCCATTATATGACTGCAGAATACTGAGAGGAAAGAACAGAGACAGAGAGAGAGAGAGAGAGAGAGAGAGCACAAAATCTTGATACAACAAACCACAGACAGGTCTCCAAAGCTCCAGAGAACACATTTTACAGGACAAAGGACAGAAATTGAACTACAGAGTCAATGAGCTTCTTGGGCAACAAACTAGATTAGAGAAAAGCAGTGCATGACTGCTTCATTACGGGATATTTCTGTGTGTTTACAGAGATAAATATAGCTCCTTATGTTTCCTTCAGTAATGGCCAGGTAGCATTAACTGGCTTTCATCCCATTCCAACAGCAATGCATCACACACAGAAACCGAAGCAATAAGACATAACCCAGGTTCAGAACCCTGACTGTAAGACTCCATTAGAGCCCATAATGGGCAGAAATGTAGGTTTAGCATATCGTGAGAGAGGTAAATAATATGAGGTCTAATGATTACGGATGATTTGGTATGGGGTACAGTAGGATGCAGGTGTACTAATAAACAGAGAGCTGAACTGTGCTGGGAAAAGATCCCACACCTATCACTACAGACATCTGTTCACAGACCACCTGATGCATGACCCCCCCCCCCCCAAAATATTGAAAAATAAAAATAAAATTGGTATTGAAAACAACCGTGACATTTAAAAAAATATATATATATTGCATGTTAATGCTATACAACATAATTTCATAAATAATTCAGTGCCAGTACCTATGGTTGATACTCCAAGTAGTAGCAGGTATTGCACCTTTACGCTTATTGCTTCCCAATATAACATGAAAAATGAAGTAGTAATAGCACAGGACGATGAAAACGAAAAAGAAGTAGCAGTATGCAGCTATTATTGCCATACAAAATTATGATTATGACCGAGACACTCATATTTTTAGTTTAATTCATTGGCCAAAAAACAGAAAACACAACAAAATAAATACAATTAAAGAAAGAAAGAAAGAAAGAAAAAGAAAGAAAGAAAAAGAAAGAAAGATGAATTTGACTGATGGCATTATTGTATCAACTCTAATATATTGTATTATTTTCTATATAATTTCTACAGATATCATGATCATTTTGTTATTGTGAATTCTTTTGGCCACAATAATCAAGCAGTGAAAATCCGATATTGTGACAGCCCTAGCACTAACCGTAATCACCAATCTGATTAGTTGGCTTTATCCTAAGTTCCAGTAAGAAAGTAAATCTGGCTGTAAACAAAGTCAGGTTAAAGGGTATAGTTGATGATGACAGAATTTTCCTTTTTGTGAAACCAGTGTGAAACAATAATGCTTTTGAGGAAATACGAATCACTGGGACATTTGCGGTATAATCAATTTCAGATAATCCCGTCCTGAAACAGCAGGTTGGTCGCTTTACAAGTCAGTCAGGCTGTGATCAGCATGCTTTGCCAGAATAAGCTGGCAAGCTTGTCTACAAACCAAAATTCTTGCAAGTTTTGTTTACTTCTGTAGCATTACAAGTGTTCACTTCATTTTCAAGATAACGAAGAGTAAGGTGGTGAATATATATAATAATATGGTGTCAGCAGCACATTTGGTCCAAGTCATATAACTGAAGTTGTACCTGAAAGTAGAGCAGCCCCAGGCTCCGTGCTTATCTGTGAGGATGTTCACAATCTTCTGGATGAGCTGGGTGGACGTGACGTGATCCCGGTACTTGGCGGCCCTGATCAGGTGATCGCACATCTTCTCCTCATCGCGTTTCTCAGCGGCATACTGAGCACATTGAGACTGCAGACAGAAGAAAACAGCTCTTGTGAGTAATCATGCTCTTATATGCATTCATTCAATCAATGAAGATATTAAACCGTTCATTCAAAATATCTATCCCTATTTGTGACCCTGGACCACAAAACTAGTCTTAAGTGTAAATTTTTCGAAATTGAGATTTATACATCAACTGAAAGCCAAATAAATAAGCTTTCCATTGATGTATGGTTTGTTATGATAGGACAATATTTGGCTGAGATACAACTATTTGAAAATCTGGAATCTGAGGGTGCAAAAAAATCAAAATACTGAGAAAATCGCCTTTAAAGTTGTCCAAATGAAGTTCTTAGCAATGCATATTACTCATCAAAAATGAAGTTTTGATATATTTACGGTAGGAAATGTACAAAATATCTTCATGGAACATGATCTTTACTTAATATCCTAATGATTTTTGTCATAAAAGAAAAATCAATAATTTTGACCCATACAATGTATTTTTGGTTATTGCTACAAATATCTCCGTGCAACTTAAGACTGGTTTTGTGCTCCAGGGTCACATTTAAAAGCTACAATACAAACTTGTCACATACAAACAAGTTGAAGGCACAAGTGTGTTCCTGTGCTACTTTTATCTGAGAAGAATGCTGTCTATCAGAACGGGTGAAGAAAACAAAGCACACTACATCATTAGAGTGTGTGTTGACGCCTCAGCGTATGAGTGTGTGTGTGTGTGTGTGTGTGTGTATGCGGTAACTCCATACACACAGGAAACAAATGGAACTCTGGGTCATTTCCAGGCTGTTGTCACAGTGATTAATAACACTGGACATGTATTTGCTAATGCCTTTGGGCTACGCTAAAAAATGTAGAAACTACCCATAATGCACAAGGAGACATTTTTCTTTGTCAGAATTTGTTATTGAACTCAAATGCAATCCTTTAACAAAGCACCTCGCACTGCAAATGTCCCTCTGATAAAACTTCAATTCTGTTTTTATCTGGTACTACCCAAAGTAGAAAAGTAAATGAATAAGCCGTCCTCTGTGGAAACCAATGTCCCAATCAGAATCAATAAATCAGGAGATGAGTAACAAAGCTGGTGAGATGCTGGAATGAATTCAACCCACAATAAGCGAAAACAGCCCACCAAGCGCAAAACAACATGGGTTCGTTTTTTTCCCGGTGCCTCTTATCTGATTCTGATGCAACGTCTAGCAAACAGCAATCAAGCGGAAAGGTTACGGCAACCACTAGAGCTTGTTTTAATGTAATTCCCTCTGCTTCATCCATTGCGTGTTATGGCCCTAAATTAAATTAGCTTTGGACAGCACCCGCCTCAGACAACAAATACAGTGAAGGCAGATGCCAAAGCCTGCCTCGGCAAAGTTAGTGGTAAACGCTCCAAAGTGCCTTCTAATGGGCCCTCCTCTCCAATTTGAGGATGTATGACAGAAAATCCATAGAGATAAATCACATTAGGGGGGCTTCCCTCTCCTAATTATCAATCTGTCTCATTTCGCTGTTCTTAACTCTGCAGTGACCTTAAAGCCATGAGAAGAGGACGGTGGAATAAAAGAGAGATAAAAGGCAAAGGGTGAATCTTTAAATGTGAACCTATTTGAGTGTCTAGTGTAACAAAAGAGCGGGAATAAAGGAACGGAAAGAAAGACAGCGATTTGTCTCTGTTCGGCGTGGAAGGTCACGTCTGGGTAAGAAATGGAAAATTCTAGATGGGTAACATTCGTTTTGATGAAAGAATGGAGGAAAGAAAAAACAAGCAAAAGAACGGGTTTGACAACAATAAAAGGTGCACATAAATATTATTAATGACTTATGTAATCAAATACTTTTTTACATATTGTAATATTATTTTTATAAGACCTTTTAAGTTTGTAATATTTAGAATTTGTAATATTCATTGAAATAAACCGTTTTGAAGTTTGTTCTGAAGGTGATTTCTGAATCAGAAACAAACATAGCAATCATCCATATTTTTTTCATTGTTCCCTTCAACGACTGATTAACACATTATTAATTAGCCGTCATGAGTTCAAACACTTTGGCATAAACAGGCACTTTATCAACTAGTGTCAACGGCACCAAATCCCTGAGCTCCATAATGGGCTTCGTAATTTTCATGAACTTCCTGACAAATGGCTTCCTTGCAGCTGAACATACAGGCTGCATTATAGGAAACATTCAGGTGAACTACACAGCAGTGACATTATCATCACGTTTGGGGCTGTAATTCTGAAGTGACGTCATAAGACTTCTGGAAACCCTACAAGGTGAACTTAATTCAAAGGGTCTTGCACATGTTTGGCAGTCCACTGAAGAGGGAAGCACAATCTGCAGTCACAGTGTGGCTGAAGCTGAAGCCATAGAGGCAGAGAGAAAACTATTAAAGCAATGTGTTTATGACTTCAGACAGAGTAATCATCCACATCTCCAAATGTTCTGTGTTCTGGAGAACTGAAACGGACAGGGTCAGCACTCATTTCCTTCAACGGACTACACCCATGACAAAACATTAGAGCCATATTATTGTAAAAAATCTGTATCGTCTACAGTAGTCTAGAACTATTTATTCAGCACTTCAATAAAGGTCCAAATAAAATGCATATTTTGGAGTTTGACAAAAGTAGGCAACTGAATTAACAAGATATGTGACCCTGGAGCACAAAAACAGTGTTAAGTCGCTGGGGTATATTTGTAGCAACAGCCAACAATACATTGTATGGGTCAAAATTATCGATTTTTCTTTTATGCCAAAAATCATTCGGATATTAAGTAAAGATCATGTTCCATGAAGATATTTTGTAAATCTCCTACTGTAAATATATCAAAACTTAATTTTTGATTAGTAATATGCGTTGCTAAGAACTTCATTTGGACAACTTTAAAGATGATTTTCACAATATTTATATATTTTTGCTCCCTCAGATTCCAGATTTTCAAATAGTTGCATCTCGGCCAAATATTGTCCGATCCTAACAAACCATACATCAATGGAAAGCTTATTTATTCAGTCATTTGTATAAACATCGATTTAAAAAAATTGACCCTTATGACTGGTTTTGTGGTCCAGGGTCACATATTTAAAATGTATTTAGTCCAAATTTGAAATCAAAAACAAATGGGAGCTGTTAAATTTAACATGATTAAACATGTTTAACACCTTTTTTTCAGTATGATCTGATTTGTTTAAAATCACATACACGCACACAACTCACTTCGTGCTGTAGCAGAGCATCCATTTACTAGTAAATCATTGAGAAAGACTCATGGGTAATTTATTAATAAATCAATCCTGGTTGGGACATTTAACAAAAGTAGTCATTCACATCTTAGTTGATCATGATGAAGCTCAACTTCTTATGTGTTGTGTCAGAGTCTGCTAATTATATGTTGGAGCATTATTTGGTTTTATAGTAATATTTGCTGCATGTTTCCACTTGTAGAAAGCTGCAGAAGTAAATAAATGAACAATACCATTGACAAGAATGGTAGCCCCCTTTATGTCTTTTTTAGAAAAAGAGTATTTCAACAAACTGCATTGGTTTCTGAAATCTTCTGAATGTGTGGCAATAGGTTTCGGTATAAAATCCAGGCCTATTGTTGTATAGGCCAGTGGAACAAAAATCACTTTTAAATACGTTTTTCACATTCAGAATTAATAGGGAACTAAAGCAAAACAACATACCGATGACTACTATTTTCCAGTGTTAGCAGATCCCAACGTTTCCTTGTAACAAGATATGAACAATCATGGGCTGCAGGTTTACCCTCTCCTCCCTAAACAGGGTAGCAAGTTTAAACAATATAATCATCATCTGCCAGGGACCAGAACTCATTATGTTGCGGAGGATATGCACGCGCCACTCAGAGAAACAAAATGAAAAACGAACGTACGCCATGTTCGTCGGCCAATCAAATTCGAGAGATTTTCATTGCACTTGATCTTTTGACCCACTGTCTTTCCAAATTTAAAGCCGCAGCGTAAAAATTACAGCCAGGGGAATTCAGACAAAAGCAAGCTGGGAAAGTGAAAAGTGACAACCAAGAAAAATGACGGCTTAAAAGTACAATAGCGAACAAAAGTCACAGAATGACAAAGGCTGACAGGCACTTCAATTCTGGAGCGATACCGCTGTCAGCCAACGCCTCTCTGTATTGATTTCCCTCCATCCCATGTTCCCTCGGCGATAGATGGAGCAGGAATCTAGTGTAAAGCAACTAGAGAGACAGAAAATGTTACCACCTCCTTCCCAGAGTCAGGGTGACCATCAAGGTTAACACAGGTGTAACAACTTATCAAAGCATCTTTGGCTTCTCTCTTCCCCTCCTTCATTTCGTGCTTTTAATGGACTAGTCACAATGCGTAGATGGCAGATTCTTCATCTTTCCTCCCACCCCTTCTCCAAAAAAAAAAGGCATTTATTTGGATCCATTACTCTACACGGGCAGCTGACTCCTGCAACTTCAAGGTCACGCCGTGTGAGAAATTGTAGGAATTAAGTGTCCTTTGAGGTGAAAAATAGTCAAATGAAGGAGATGTGCGGCGAGTGAAAAATGAACACGTCTGCCGGCAGGCGACGAGGAGCAGGTGTGGATGAATGTGAATGCGGGATAATATTTTTACTTCTGGTAAATAAGGGAAATGCATTTGGTCCTGAGCCCAATGAACAAAAAACTACAAGCAAACCGTCACTGTTGGGAGGGTGATAACACGGGTCAAATGAACAGTATGAAAAGATATCTTCACAATATATATATATTTTTTATATATATATATATTATAATCGTATTATTTCCAAGAGCCATTGTGATTTCTGTCTATATTTAAAGCTGAAGTGTGTAGTTTTTCCCAAGTTAAAACACTTCCTCCTATCCCAGCTGAGCAGGCAGAACACAAAATGACTGAGGGTTATTATTATTAATATTACATGCTAAATACCAATAATACCCAGAAAAAGTTTTAATGCATAATGCAGGACTTCTAATTATAAACAAGTCTG